GCAGTCAGAAATAGGCAGCTTTCAGAGAAAAACCCTTCTGAAGTGAGCTGCGTTAACTAAAGCGTACAGCAATGTCCAGCTGCTGCTCAGGGGCATGTGAGAAGACAGCAAAGCCATCACCTGCAGTGGGGCAATGAGCAAAGCCAGCGTTTCACAGATTGTTCTGTGGACATCACTGCTGGGGAACTGTGCTAATACCAAGGGGTGTCAGCTGAAAACCAGGTTCTGCTTTCTGATGTGTAAATGATCATGTAAAAGAAATTTTTGCAGAACTGCAATTTCTGCATGCTTTCAGGGATCAGAGCAAATGCCTGTTGTTCTTACGGAAAGCAGGTATATTTTAGTATTATAAAATATTAATTTTGTGCAGAGAATATGCACTTAGTTTTTATCACAGCAAATGGACAGATGCAGTTAGTCTCCCAAGGATTGTGCCAATGTCTCAATTTCTTTAAGCACTGCCATATTTCACCAACCTAAAATGTCAGCTTGGCAGCACGTAAGATTTTAAAATAAATTTTCCACTATATAGTGTCCACAGAAACAAAGGAACATAGCCATATCAGTGTATATGTTGACTTCATATTTTATGTGCGTAAACTCAGTATGCTTATGAAATTCTAGATGAGTCAGCTCCTCAATTTGGTTGCTTCCTTGTCCTTTCTTGCAAATTTTTTTTCTGTTGACTAGTCTGGGCATCAGTGATTGAGGCTGGGAAGAGAAATGCACTTAGGTGTCTGGTGAAATATTTGACTTACAGAAGACATCAGACATGACTCATGAATACTGGGAACTGTAGCACAAAGGTAGATACTTTATAGCTTTAAAAAACCACAAGATACATTATTAAAAGGACCACAAGATGTATTAATTTTGCTTTTTTAGATATTAAGAATTAGTGTTGTGGAATAGGGCTTTCAGTGAATTAGAGTATGGTTTTGTGCACAGTATGTGGGTGTATTTCAAATGTTACTCTTACCTTAGTACATTATTATGTGAATGTTTTTTTGAAAGTAAATACCATTTAGTTACTGGTAAAAATTTGAATGACCTTAGATTTCATGTACTACTCCTGAATCATGCGTAGTGAAATTGAGACCTGCTGCAGCACGCACATGTCTGAGCTGGCACTTGCCTGCAGTATGGGGGCCTGGAAGGTGTGGATTTTCCAGATATTTACAGTCCAATTTCTGCCTGGAAAGAATCAACCCCAAACTAGTAGAGCCTTTGGAACATAATGGCTCATGGTTACACGGTAACATGTAAGAATCAGCTGCTTGCTGCTTCTTAGAAAAGCACCACGGTTTCCTCCCACAAACCTCTGTATGCAGAGAAGCCTACAAACTAACACCTGAAATTTTCTGTAGCACAAATACCAGTTCTCAAGACTTTCATCAGCTGTGGAGATGAACTGGCTGGCCACAGTGCTCTGCATTATACATTTTAATGTTCCATATAATTTTTTTATTTGTTCTGGTAGTATCCCTTTGCATAGTGCTTTTTATATTTCAGAAATCCTTAGGGTTCTTATGCCAGCTTGTTTCCTCAGGCCACACACTTGCTGCATTTCCAGTCAGATCTTTGTTTCCAGACAACTTTCCTTCCCTATTTTGTGTGAGGCATGGACAATAGGGTACAGCTAATTCGCTTCTAAAGGAGAAGTCACAGAGACAGCAGCAGCTGCAACCACCTCCCAGCAAAGCTGCAGACAGAAAGCAGCTGTCAGCAAAATTGAGTGTTTTACTCTGTACTTGCAACAGAAAGAATGAATGCATTGCCACTGAGGAGCCAAGGGATTTGCAGGGCACTCCCTTGTTATGGTCTGCCTTTACTCCGGAAAAGTAGACCAGCATGATGGTGATCCCTGCCTACCTATATAGATACAGTTTTAATTTTTCATCTGAGATTAATTTTCAGAGCTGAAAGGTACATCCAGAAAAGAATCACTGAGATCCTAACTAGATGCTGGCCTGATGAAATAAGTGGGAGATAGTCCAGCACTGGGCTTTCTAATGCTATTCAGAAAAACATTACCACTGTGTTTGGAAAGGACTAAATTAGGGAGGAGGGAAAAAAAACCCCTACAAAATGCTGTGTTTTATTCAGAGGGGGCTGCTTATGAAACAAGTAAATGAAACCTAAGGGCAAAGGCACACCTATACAGATGCCTGTGTTGTCATAGCCACATACAATCATAGAATACACTGAATTGGAAGTGGCCCACAAAGTCCCCTGAGTCCACCTCCTAGATGGAAGTATTGTTTGAAAAGATACGACCTCCTGTAATGATTTATTTACAGGAAGTTTGGAAATCAGATTTTGTTGTTGTTTTTATTTGCTACAACTAAATTCTGCAACTTCCTTCTGTCAGGAACTCGATATAGAAACACCTACCTGAGAGAAAACCGTAAGGTTGGTGGTTTGTAGTTTTATTTCTGTTAGGCTTTTGATAGGGCCTATTGAAAATTTACATGTGCAGGACCTACTGCTCCAGCTGGATCCCTATAAACCTATGGGGCCTGACAGGATTCATCCAAGAATCCTTCCAGAACTGGCTGATGTAATCATAAAATGTCTTCCTTTGAGTGGTCTTGGGAATCCAGAAGTTCCAGCTGACTGGAAGCTGGTAAATATTTGTCCCGATTTTCAGGAAGGGAAGGAGGCCCCAGGAAACTATAGGTTTGTCAGTCTCACTCCAGTGCCTGATAAAGTTATGGAGAAGTTTATTCTGGGGGTATTGAAAAACACCTGAAAGACAACACAGGCATTGGTCACAGCTAGCATGTCTTCATGAGAAGAAAGTCTAGCTTATTAACCTGATTTCCTTTCATGACTAGGTAACCCACCCAGCTGACCAAGGGAAGCCAGTAAAGTTTTTGATAGAGTGTCTCACAGGATCCTTCTGGACCTAATGTGCAGCCCACAGCTGGATAAACACATCATGGGATGGGTGAGCAGCTGGGTCATGGGTCAGGCACAAAGGGTCACAGTGAATGGGGTGACATCAGACTGGGGACCTGTCACTGGAGGGGCTCCACAGGGCCCCATCCTCGGCCCTCTGCTCTTCAACATCCTCATAAATGACCTGGACACAGAACTGCAAGGGACACTGAGCAAGTTCACAGCTGATAAAAAACTGGGAGGAGCTTCTGCCTCCCTCCAGGGCAGGGAGAGGCCCTGCAGAGAGACCTCCACAAATCAGGGGTCTGGGCAATCACCAACCACATGAAATTCAGCAGGAGAAAGTGCTGGATCCTGCATCTGGGATGGGGCAGCCCTGGATGTCTGGACAGACTGGGAATGAGATGCTGTAAGCAGTGCCATGGAAAGGGACCTGGGGGTCCTGGCAAGTTGAACATGATCAGCAGTGCCCTGGCAGCCAGGACAGCCAACCCTGTCCTGGGGTGCATCAGGCACAGATCAGCAGCCAGGCAAGGGAGGGGATTGTCCTGCTCTGCTCTGAGCTGGGGCGGCCTCACCTCCAGGGCTGGGGGCTGGTTTGCTGTACGAGGAGCAGCTGAGGTCACTTGGTCTGTTCACCTCAGAGGAGACTGAGGTCAGACCTCACTGCAGGAACAGCATGGGGAGAAGAGGAGGGGCAGGCACCAATCTCTCCTCTGTGATCAGTGGCAGAACCCCAGGGAATGGCCTGAAGATGTGCCAGGGGACATTTAGGTTGGGTGTTAGTAAGAGGTTCCTCCTCCAGAGGGTGGCTGGGCACTGGAACAGCTCCCCAGGGATGTGGTCACAGCACCAAGTTTGAGAGAGCTCAAGAAGCATTTGGAGTCAGCACAGGGTGTGACTCTTGGGGATGGTGCTGTGCAGGGCCAGGTGCTGAATTCAATGATTTTTGTGGGTCCCTTCCAACTCATTCTGTGATTCTGTAAATGATTATGAGGTTATATGGTTCACTTCCAGTGCTCTTGACATAATTCAGAAAGGTAATGTTTATATCATGTTAATGACCCTACTAAATACATGCATGAGTCTCCTATGCTCTCTGATGAGTTATGGTGACACTAACTGTTCAGTGCCACCTTCAGCTTTCTTTTCATCTGGAGCCTCACTCTGTAACATAATGCTTGTATTAGCAACAAAAGGCCCCATAAGCCCTGACGACTGCCACCTCTTTGCCATTTTTAGGGTTTTTGGTGTTAGTATTTTATTTTCTCTTCCTTTTCTCAGTTGCTACCATGCATGATGGGTCATGAAGTTGCAGTGAGGGGAAATGGTCAAGTTAATACTGCTGAAGCAGACTAAGAGCTGTAGCAAACGAAACAAAATACTGCTGTGCTCAGTATTTAAAAAAACATGACAAGTAGATTATTCTGAAAGGAGAAAAATTTGGTGCTATTTTAAAAAGTGTGTAGTATCTTACATGCCCTGTACCTGTAGCTTTAACAGTGCTGGTTATGAAGAGGCCTAGAATGTATTTAATTTCTGCATATTTTGTGCAAGAGTCTTATCCAGCTCTGCATATTTTTCCTTACACAATGAAAAAAGGCAAAGAGCAAGCAGAAAAACCTTTGAAATGAAGTGTAACCTTTGCAGAAAAACCTGTGAAATGAAGTGTAACTCTGTTATGAATGGGATCCTGTAATAACTGTGTCTGTGAGAGTCATTACATTAGAAGTCACTGTGGTGCCTTAGTGCCTTCTTGGACAATTTTCTTACTCTTAACTGCATTTGAAAGAACTTGCTGAGTGTCCCTTAATTCAGGTTGTGACACTGTATGTCTGCAAAGGGGGAGGTCAGAAAATGTGGTGACGTGAAAAGGAACTGTACTCTTTGTACTGAAGACACTCTTGAGGCAGGCAGAATACTTTGTATTCTGAGGCTAAGAACTTTAAAAAAGAATACCCCATTTATTTTTTTCTCATTATCATCCCTTAAGTGATGAGTTCCAGGTGCTTTTTTCCTGCTGCAAAAGAAGGAATGGAGTCATTCTTCTTCCCATGTATTTAAATTATTTTGAACCACAGTGCAATGGAAAGACTATATGTACTTAAAAAATAATTTATTTTGATATTTTTATTACTATCAAAGAGGATTTGATATAAAACAGTAGAGTACAAAGGAAATAAGTTCACAGATTTTTTTTGTTTAAATTCTTAACTCTCTGAAATGAACAATTAAGATGTCTTCTAATAATGTAAAGATTCATTCATCAGGGAAGAAGAGAAACACTTGACATACCATTGCAAAAGAAGCATCACAAGGGTATGAAAGACACTTCCAGAAAATGGGAGGTCTGACATTTCTAGTAAAATTTAACTTAAACATGACAGAGAGAGCATGATGATCTTTGTTTTTTTCTTCAGTCCCATCCCATCACCAGGATGATGTCAGGTAACTTTCCAGTTTATTTCTGCTTCTCTCTAATCTTATGAGCCCCACTGCAGCCCCGGCTGATTTTACACTGACATTTTTTAAATATGACATAGAAGTTACAAATAAAATTGTAAGTACACAAGACAGTTTCATCCATTTTCAGAATGTTCAAATAAATAAAGTTGTTCAAATCAAGAATCTTTGGCATCTGCAAATCAGAATTATTGTATTACCAAAGCACAAGGATAAATCCCAAAATTATTGTATCAAAGAATTACCTAGAGTCAGAGTAACTTGTGTGTATGTGTAGTTTGTTTTGTGTGCATGTGTTCTCAGTTACAGTGGATCTCTAGAAATACAAAAAAGTAAATATTTCTGTCAGCTGATTGTTTTAGCAGTCACATAATCCTTCCTTTGATGTCCTGGGTCAATGAAATCCTAGTACCATCGGGGTTTAGTAGAAGATCTATTAAAAGAGTTGTCTGTGATCTTTCCTGCAACGGAAACAGCATTTAAAGTTATTACTCTGTCACAATGAAGGAATATCTGTGCATTCTTGATTGCTGCAGCTTTCCAAATTGAGTTATATTTTAGGTTACCAGTAAACTGTAACTGTAGCTACAGAGTTAACAATGATCTCTTTAGCTTCCTAAAGCTACCACAACAAGGTCTGGAGAAGATAGGGAGGGATCCATGGTGGAAGCACTAACTCTCTTGGTTATTAGCAAGTTACCCTGAAAATAACGTTGGAGGCAAGTTACCACAGCAATACTGTGTGATGCTACATACCCACATACCTTCTCATCTTTAGCCAACAGCAGTACTGAGGTAGCTTTTCCCCCTTAGGCCATTTAGTGTCTAACATCAGGATATCATAATGTGTATTGATTCAGTTTTTGAGAGAAAACAGCAACACTTCTCAAAGGCTCTTAGGAAAGGTACATCTTGCTTTTTGCTCTAGGGCTCGACTCCTGTTCCTGCTGAACTGAGCCAGTGTGTAAAATCAGAACTGATATCAGCTCAGTAGGCACCGGAGGACGGGTCCATCAACAGCCTGGAACAACAGCAGCAGCTGTAAGTTGTTTCCGACTGGAGCTGCCACCATTTCCTGCAAACAACACAGAGTGCTAAGCTAAAACTGCAGAGAGGATCATGACAGCATCCATTAAAGAGAAGACTATAAAACAAAAGCTTTATTGACAATTTCAGGTTAAAGTTACAAGCATTATTTCCTCTGACCTTTAGGAAAGCATGGTAACCAAATTACTGTAGGCAATACCTTATATTTGCAATTAGACTGAGAACTTAAGGAGCACTATTTATTCTCAACTAAAACTAGAAGTCTTTGGAGCTTCCCAGGTTGCCTCTGTGTCTTATTGTCCATACACTGAACCTTGATGTATTCATCACAAATCTGCTCTCTCAGCAGCAAGGGATCTCAGCCAGCAAACGCTCTCTGCCCTGCAGAGAGTCTCCTCTCCCTTCTCTTCAGGTGCAGAACTTAGCCACTGTGAACAAAGAGGAAAACAATCACTGTTCACCAATCAGCTAAGCTCTGCACCTCGCCAGAGAGATCTCGGTCTCAGCAGAGATAGTTTTCGGAGGAGGTTCTTCCATGATGTTCTGCTGCTTTCCTGTGATTTTGGTGGGTTTGGGGGTTTGTTTCTCTCTCTCTCTAGTTTTTATTTTTTTGTGTGTGTGGGTGTGTGTTTTTTGTTTGTTTGTTTGGTAGCTGGAGAGGATTCCGCGCTGTGCAGCCATCAGACCGTTAATGGTGAGTTTCATGCTAGCAGCTGTGGTCATGGCTGCGTGGTAATCCCTGGCAATGTGATTTTAATCTGAAGTCACAAATCATCATGCCAGGAACCCAAACAGCCATAACATTAAAAGAAAGCTGTGCAGTCACACACAGTATTGTACTCAGTATCTTTACATTCTATGTTATAGCTCACCATGCACTTCCACTCTGTGAAGTCAAAGGGGTCATTCTAGACTACTGCTAACACCTGCATACCATGTAATTTTCCTGTGCTAGATACTTACCATCAGAAACTTGTAGAAATTTTGATTTTATTATTTCTGACCTTCAGACACTTGAAGACACCTACCAGATTAAGAATTGTTGAACATAAATCAAATTCCTGAGTCCTTAATAATTTGGAGTATACAAGAGAGTTTCTATAGCCCTAACTATTTAAAAAGGTATCTCTCCTACCCCACAACTCATCTCCTGCCACTTTACAGTCTGATCCACCTTTCCCAAAAAGTTTTCTTGGCAGGTACAGTTCTTGTCTATACAGAAGAACAACATGGCTTTTCATAATCAAACTTGCTTTCATTGTATCTGTTATTGGCTGTATTTCATATAAACCTAGCAAAAAAACCACTACAAAATCAAGTGGAACTTACAGTCAAATATTGCTAGAACAGGAGAAAATTAAGATTTTTGCTTTGTATCAATTAACTGACAATGTTTTTGCTAAATTAGAAGCCTGAATTTTGTGAACAACCATGGCAATCAGTCTGTTGGATGAGTTATATGGTTAACCAAAAATCTGAGGTATGCTGCACTTGAAGAAACTTTCATACAAATCTTAACAGGTTGTATGTTAAACATGCATGTGCAGACACTGTAAGACTACCTCCAAACTGTTCAGACAGAGAACTGGAAAGTATATTTGCAAATTTATAGCCTATGGAAATCTTCATTCCATAAATATTTTTGCAATTCTGCTTTTTCTGGCAATTCCTCTCCTTCAATTTCATAAACAAGTTAGCTTCTTCATGTTAAGGGTACTTTTCTTACCTCATAATCAGTCTTCAAAACCTCCATACCCTCAACACAAGAACATCTGAATTACCAGCTTGTTCTCACATGATATTTGTTTCCAAGTCCACAGTTTCGTATTTCCACTGTGGGAACAGGCTCTTTTCAAAGACTATGCTGCCTGTTGAGTAAACATGCAGCTCTATTAAACAGAAATGCTCCTCACACAATTGAAATTTTTGTAAGCAGAATTAGGAATACAGGGTGGGAAACAACTGTAGGGCAGAGCCTGGCCTTCTTTGGCCATTTGGACTTACAGTTGCCTCTTGTACAGTCCATTACAACAAAGCCATTCTCCATTTTCTCCAGCTATGCCTACATGTATGTAACTCACTGCTTCTGCAGCTGGGCTTCAGAAAAAGAAAAAAAACAAGCCAACAAGATACATAACAAGAGTTATCTCTCAGCCTAAGCAGCCACAAGCTGTATGGTATGCCATAGTTTACCATCTACACTAAGCTCTTCATATTCTTTCTATGTGAAGCAAAATCAGGGTGTTAGGATTAAAATGAAAAATCACCTTTTCAGAATAACATCTCTGCCACCACTTTGGCTGAGGATGCATCCATATGTTCTTGTGCTGCAGCAAAGCATTTCCGTGCAAGTTCTTGTTGTTTTGCATCTTCATTCACCATTAATTCACCATAGAGATACACACCCATGGCCTGAAAGAGGAACATAGCACACAAGCATCCTACCACCAGTAATAACTAGTTAGCTGGGTTTTTGCCACTGACCCCCTACTATTCATTTAAACTAGAAATGAAACAAAATAGGCAATCAAAACCACAGAAAACACCATTTAATCTCTAATGTCTATTCTCCCCCCCTAGAAGAACTGATTTTCTCTGTGTCTGTTTAGTCTAAGGATGGTTGTCTATATGCTGTGTTGACTCTCCAAAAACAGATTATTAATGTAAGATTTTTGTGTTATGGCATGACAAGAAAAATCATTCCTCACTCCACTTTCCTTGCCAGTTTTCAAGTTGAATACTGTTTCCTTTTACCAACTATCTGATTTTATCCCAAATGTCCCTTAAGAAAAAAGCTTCTCCTTCCTTCAACAGGATATACATTTTCTTTTCAATTGTCATGTTTACTCACACATCCATGAACAAAGACTGAAGTACTCCACTCTAAAATTCCCATTTAGCAATTCTGAAACTGGACATTGACTGAATATGGTCATGTATATGTTTGACTCCCTTTATATCAGAGATGCAGCTTAATATGCATGAATTCTGGTTGAGTACAAAAGCAGGCTTTTCCTAATTATTTATTCTGGACATAGCAGCTATAAAAAAAGGTAATGGGGCTCCTGTAGGGAGATCTGGGCCCCTTTCACTGCTGCCAACAAAGCTCTGGCTGCCAACTTAATGGGAAACATATTGGAGATTGTCTTTTTTTTTCTGATGATACATTTCTTTCAGCTAATGACAGGAATTCAGTAAGTGTTAAACTACACTTACCAAAATAGGATTACACATCTGACAAAATATTAGCAGCTTAGCATGCTGACTTTTACAGTTATTTTTTTGACATTTGCAGGAGCAGAAAAATTTGGATAGCATTGAAAAAATATAATTTTTAATGGTATTCCTTGCAATTTCTAGCATTGGGTGATAAGCCTTTAAAACCCCTTCAGCCAGAAGAGAAATTTAAAATTTAAAAATTATTGGAGTAAAAGGAGAAAGTCTCAAGAGTGGCAGGAACCTGCCAGATTCCTTGCCAGTTCCTTAAGCATGCTCTGATGCCAGAACCAAAACCTCAGATTTCCAAGGTTTGCAGCCGCACCAAGGTCTGGCAGCCACACAAATGACCTTGGAGCTGGACTCTAGTAACTCTCATTGAGAATTTTTTAAATGCTGAGATTTTCTTACTATAGGAGCTACCTTCTCTACCCAGCATTAATAACTCTCCCCTAGGTCTAAAAATTAATATGCAGTAAACACACTTGTGTTTTGTAGAACTTCAAAGGACTTAAACAGTCTATTTACATTTTTTTCCCAGACTTTTAAAAAAAGCTGTTACATGATCAGTACAGACATGCAACTGCTCTAAGTACTAATCACACCAGAAACTCGTTATGCCATTAACTGTATGCATTGCTGAAGTAAATGAAATTAGATTATTTTAAAAAGTTGCAAAAATTATTTCCGTACACTCCAGAAAATGTCTTTATTTGGCATAACAGCTATTCCAAACATAATGCAATTCTGTATAGTTTTATCAGCTCAAGGATTTCCTAAACCCCGAAACCCCAGGTTCTGCTAGTGGATAGCTCCATCCTTTCACAGAATTCAAATATGCACAATCAATGTAACTCCTTATGAAATAATGTTATTTTATGTCTTTTGTTTGTTTGTTTTAATACAGAGCTTGCCAAGAGCTCTTGGGCCTTGTTTATTTGCTGAGATATAAATAGGAGGTATACTTCCAAGCTAGAACTCATGAAAAAACTGCAATAATTCAACTGTGTTATGTTGGCTGAAAGCAAAAAATCCTCACTGGCTGTAAATAGCTTTGTTAATTGTGAGCATAAAAGGTAAAGACATTAATATCTTGCCTAGATTTTGATGTATCGTCACAATTTTCTATTTTTTAACATACATTTGAATATTTAAAATTCATCCTAGGCAGTGAATGTCTTGATTTTATAGGGCTCATAGTGAATAAAGATAAATAAAAGAATAAAAGAAATAGAAAAGAACAAGGTAGAGGTGCAATTAGAATTCCAAATTCACAGTTACCTAAATACAAGGCCATAGTAAGGGAATAATGTATGTCCAGCCTTTTAATGCCTTCACAATCCTCTCTTACCATGTCCCTACCCATGGAGAGGCCATCATTCCCTGAATGTTCTGTACCACTTCTGGCTGTTATCATCTCAACTGAGGTTACCACAGCACTGGCTGCTTTGCACCTACCTCGTACCTGTACGGACATTCACAGCCACACTCGCCTTCCTCATCCTGCAAAAGGAACCTGCTGAGAAGTGTCTCCCTAGCATCATTCATACCTCTGGCTTGCACAAAATGCAAGGAGAGGAGGAATTCTATTTCATCACTTGGCAGAAGATCAGCAGTGTTTAGGTTAGGTGGGGAAGTGGCTTCCTTAAACTATAATATTTAGGGGACCACAGAAGAAAAAAATGAATACACAGCCTTGTTTTTGACAAACTGCAGCAAGAAAATATACTATTTTTTTTTTTCAGCATAAGGGTGTTAAAAAGTCAATTGTTTTCAAAATACTAGTTAAATGTAACTTACCTGATCCTCTCTGAGGAATCTCTCAATGTCTCCATACCCCGGCTGGTATTTGTGTTTAATGACAAGTTCACACCACCGATGACGAACCTTTGGGAAGAAAAATAAAACTAGGTAAAAAAAGAAGCAAACAAATAAACCCCTGTATTTTATCTGTTTGAGTGTTCATAATGTATCTGTACCAGTTTAGTTTTTTCATCTCTGTTGGGTTTGTGTCTTTTGGCAGGTTGCAGCCTGGCAAGTCAGTCAGCTGGACAGAGGAGCCAGAACTCTGTGCCTGGGCTTTGGAAACCCAGGATGCCCAAAGACAAACTCCTGATTCTGTGCTAGAAATTAACCCAGACCCAGACACACCATCTGCAGCATCTTCAGTGCAACTGCTTCCAGCCTTGACTTTCTTTAAGTTACACTAAAGGTTATTTCTTTCATACTGTTGAAAGGAGGGCATTGGGGGTGGCAGGAAACAGAGACTACCATGCAAAGGTCTGGAGAAGCCACAAAATACAACTGATAATATTCCCTATTTAAGTGTATCATACAAGCAATAAAAAGGCTTATATCTAATTCTTTACCAATATTAAATCCATGCCAAGAGGATAGAAGTTCCCCTGAAACAGGAAGCTTTCACTTAAATGAATGATAGATTTTAAGCATATTGTTAAGCATTTAAAATTCATCTGCATTTAAAAAGCTGTCATGCTTTTCTACCAATACACATTGATAAAACCAGTTATTGCCACACTGTTACAAGCAAATTACATCTTAAGTAGTATTAACATGAATTACACTATTACAGAAGTTTTCAAGCAAATTACATCTTAAATAGTATTAACATAAATTATGTGTGTGTTGTCTTTACATTTCTGACTTTTTTCTTAGCCACTCTTGTGGCATGTCATCTTACACTCCAGTTAGGCATTCCTGATTGCAGGTAGTGATCAGCCTAACATTTTATATTCCATTAGCAATTCTGCACTGATAGTAAAGGAAAACAGTTATGTGGAACAACTCCCAGTGCTTCTGTTTCAGCCTTTTCTCTTACCATCTTTCAAAAGACTGCGGACCTAATGAAAATCACATTTCATAATAAAAGTGAAAGTTAGCAGTTTTAGTAGTTTTCAAAACTGAGTCCAAATTTGCTTACATCAATTAACTGAATATGAACCTTTTTCTGAATGACAGATTTAGTGATGACATCAAGAACTGAAAACAGAAAGGGAGTATGGGGGAAAAGGTACCGTTGCTTTTGGAAATAAGGTTTTGAAAACAATTTCCTTTTCATCCTAGTCACTGTTAACTTTTTGGCTCTGGAAAAAAATTCACAGAATTACATTAGATTAGATGTAAATCCTATTAGCATAATAACAAGTCATAAATGCCCACAGTCATAAATGTGTGCTTGATTCCTCTTTTCAGCTGATCCCTTATAAAAAATAGTTTGAAGACAGCTTATGAAAATAAAAAAATGAGGTTTTGGGGCTGGGTGGATTTTGCACTCACTGCATTTAAAATACCAAATAGATACAATGCTGTGCATGATAGGGAATAACTGCTGTCTCTTACAGCTTTTTGCTGATAAAATAGCAGCTGTAAGTAAGGATTCCTGCTAGTGGAACCAGAGCTAGATTTACAAAAGAAATGGCTTTCCAAGATTCAGCTCACTTTGCTGTAGATGCCTGTATTCACAATGCAGACCTTAAAATCCTACCCAGCTGCTGCTTCTCTCAGGAGACACTGAATGTTTCTCCAGGAAACTTCCCAGGCAATGCAGCTTTGTTACAGGTTGTTTCTCAGCACCAAGCAGCTCCTTGCCTGGATGAAACTACCAAACCCAAAGCTTAACCATACACCTCTCCTATCTGTAAGATGAGTTAAGCAAACGACATAAACACATTTAAGAAACTGTAGATACACTTTACTCTGCAGATTCTTCCATATATAACAAACAAACAATCCAAACAGAATTCCTAATGTATTCTGATAGCAACAAGGAGAAAGGGTCTGTAGTCCCCTCCTGTGATCCTTGCTCTTCTACATCTCATGATCCAGCAGTTAAAGCACTTACCCAGGAGGGAAGCAATCAAGTGCAGCTTCTGTGGCTGCTTATGGCCTCAAACTGTGCCTTCAGTGAGAATATTTCAGCAGCAGGGATGGGGCTATCTTCATACCTCTCGGTGGAGCTGTTAGTACCCCTACAGTTATTAAAGTATTTATTGATGTAAAGGTGGAGTCACAAGATTTTAAGTGCCTACATTTTTGAGTACTTTTTATAATAAGCAGGGACCTGGCTGAAAGAGCACAGAAGCCAGTTTGTCCCCAGAACACCTTTCTTGGTGCAACCATTGTAGCTGCATGGAGAGCAGAACAGAAGTTCTCTCTGTGAAGGTGTTCATGTGGTCATACTTCCTCACATATTAATGCAATCTATGATTGACACTGCATCATAGCCTGAGCATCTGAATTCCAATGGCTTTGGAAAACACAGAACTAAGCTGTGCCTGTTCCCTTAACTGCTCCTTCCTCCATATGGTTTCTGTCCTTGGCAACCAACATTTATTCAAATAGTTAAAAAGAAAAACATTTATTTGTTGAGTGAGATCTGAGACAGCACACACTTTTCTTTCTCTCTTTCGCTTTTTTCCCCTTTCTTTCCCAGGGTGAGTATAAATCCCAGCACATTCCCAGACCTGAAATGCTGGCACTTGGCCAGCTGGGGCAGGAGCAGCATGCCTCTTATCCTCAGATTACACATTTGCCTCCTGTCTGCCCCAAATGTTCCCGTGGCAGAGCAAGCTGCAGGAGGACCAATGGCTGCTGAAGGGTCTGTGAAACCATCAGCTCAGTCAGCCCTGCTGGCTCCCTCTGACTCGTGCAAGACCCCAGAAAGCAGGGCACAAAAACCGAGGCTGGCTCCGAGTGCAAGAGGGGCAGGGGGCCCTTGCACAATGGGGACTGAAATACACGGGTTACATCCCTGCCCCCTGTGCCATATGGTGTGTAGACAGCGGTGCTGCCCAAACTGCAGCCACAACAGTTTCTCAGACACATGAACTATAAAGGAAGAATTTTTCTATGATACTCCATAGCCCTAAGGCTGACTCCACAAACATGAGAATTTTAGTCACATAAGAGTAGAGTGCAAAAAAACCCCAGTTCCCACCGTCTCATCCAATGCTTAGAGGGACAAGAGCAAAACGGGCCCCACAGCTTCACCGCCTAATGAATGAGTCATGCGAACAGGCACTTTCAACAAAACAGTTTCAAAAGGAAATTTTGAAAACCAAGTTTCTTGTGGTAGGATTGGGCTAACCATACCACATCCTGTGCATGATCTTCTTGGCTTTTCTTTTCCTCCCAGGAGCAAATACTCAGCGGCAAAAATAAGAATTCATTAGTCCTCTCGCAGTTTTCTCTCTGCACGTTTCTCTGTGCTCTTCTACAGTTCAGAGATTCACAGCATATGTCATTTTGGCTGGTTATACCATAAACAATACAAACTAAACCTGAAAAGTAATTTACAGCAATCCATCCTGTTATTGCTGGCAGAAAGCACAGAGGACTTTGCTGGATCTGAAGCAACACCTTTAACTGCTCACCCACCCACACACACAAACTCTTACTGGTTTGGCAGCTGCAAGGACCCACATGCTGAAATTGGAATTGAAATTTGTTTTCACAGCCTGCAATTCCAGGGTGAGAGCTGTCCTCCCAAGTCCAGGACTGACGGTTGGCGTTCCCAAAGATGGGGAAGAGTAGGGCAGAGGAGGGACGGAGGCCTGCTGACACCTCAGGTTCCTTGTGGATGGATCCTCATTGCTTGGAAATAGTTTTGTCCTCCCACCCTGCTTTTGGAGATGGTGGGGGCCGCTCCACTGCCAGGTTTTTAAGCTAAATGAAGTTTGTAACTGTGTGTTTTACAATGCAATACTCATATTAGTAGTGCATTTCTGAGGCACAGGCCAGTAACCTGAAGACAGAGAGGCTCAATGTCTCAGGTATAAAATTTAATCTTCCTAAGTACCAACAACATTAAGATCTAAGTATTGGCACTCACCTACAGGGAACATTGTGAAGGGATGCTACTGTCAGACAGCACAGTTTCAAATACAGGAGCAGCAGCTTATACAAATAATTCCAGGAGCCTCATAATATCTTTTAATTTCACTTTTAAGAAAAATGCACAGTATTGCACAATGTTATTTGTATCTCAAAAATTACCTGCATTTGGACAGCTGAATGGAAGATACTAAGACCAAAATTTTGGTTGCTTGATCTGTTTTCAGACAATGCAAGCTGCTGCATGAGATTATTTGAGGGGGAAAAAATTGCATAAAATAGTCTAATAATCCAGCTCTAAGGGAGTCCCTTTATTTTAACAATCTGGGCCAAGACCTTTTGGGAGATGGTGCTTGACAAAGCTGAGAGATTAAAGCCATGTAAGGTACCAAATACATGGTTTGATTTTCAAAAGAAAAGCTTCTAGTGACATACATACCTGAGAAGAAAGTATTTTTAAAGATATTTTGAACATGTCTTAAATGAAAGAGATACTGACTATTTCTCACCCAGGTGATAAATTATTTTGCCTAATCCATGTTATACTCTCCTGGCCCACACAATCACAGCAGCATAGAATCCCAGAATGGAATGTGTTGAAAAGGACTTTAAGAATGATGTAGTTTCAACCCTCCTGCCATGGCAGGATCAGGTAGCTCATAGCCCCATGCAACCTTGGTCTTGGATGGGGCAACTCCCACGGAAGGGGAAATTTCTCTGAGAAACCTGTTACCAGTGTCTAGCCATTTTCAGTTAAATAAAGAAGTTTTTCTAAAATATCTAATCTAAGGATACTCTCATTTTCAAGCCATTCCCCCTTCTGTCAATATATGCTTTTGCAACTAGTCCCTCTTCATCTTTCTTACAGGCTCCCTTCAGGCACAGGATGGCTGCAATTAGGTCACTCCTTCTCTTCACCAGGCTGAACAAACTCAATTCTTTGGCTTTTCCTCACATGAATCACAGAATCTCACAGAATCACAGCTGAGTTGGAAAGAACTCTTAAGGATGACTGAGTCCCACACTCAGAGTTG